TATATTCAGGGTTCCAATGCCAACGGCTGGACGCCAAGCTACTGGTCCTTCGGATGCACGGACGTTCCACAGGGTAGGAATGCACCTGTGTATTGACGAGATTAGTTTGCAATGTTCTAATTCCGCAGTGCTGCCCTTGTTGGTTTAAATTCTGTTGGCATTAGTATTTTCATCTAACATTTGATATTTTTTGTTGATTAAAAAGAAAACATTTTTGCAGTGTGCTTGGAAACGACGAAGGATCACACTTCACCCACCATAATGACATCAACGACGAAACGGATGAACATCACAGAAAGTACAATGGTAACAAAAAATTATCAGTAAATTATCTTTCAAAGCGAAAGAAACAGCAAAAGGTATATGATACTTTCATAGGTACGAGTGTGTGTGTGTGTGTGTGTGTGTGTGTGTGTGTGTGTGTGTGTGTGTGTGTGTGTGTGTGTGTGTGTGTGTGTGTGTGTGTGTGTGTGTATATGTATCATATATATAAATATATATACATATTTACACACATATACATATCGCTACCTCATTGCAAGAGGGTCGTAACTCTAAATTCCTGATTTTTAGGAGACGCATTTGAAAATTGCTAAGCCCTATGAATTTGATCATGTTAATCCAGGGGTACACACAAACACCAGAGTCCAGAGACAACTCCCCCTCGCGGGTTTATTTTGCAGGATTTATATACAGCTTGGGCCACGTCATTGTGACAACAGTTATTTAAACAGAGCAAAAGTATGAATTATTAACAGTACAATATAGAACTATAAGAAAGATTAACAATAGACAAATAGTAAAAACAAAGCAACCAGGTGAAAAACCTACTAAAAGTGAACATTAGAAAGATAAAAGAAATGTTAGAAACACAGCAAGAAAACTTGATAAAACTATACATTTGATTAGAAAAATTGAATCCATAATACGTTAAAAGTCATTAATATCACAACCCACATCCCGAGTATCCCCTGTGAGGCTCCATTATTAAATACAAACCGTAATTAAGGTGGTGACGTGGCAGGATTTTAGATATATAAAAAAAAAGTTAAGATTAAGTCATAAAACAGTTTAAGACTGAAAAAATGATTAATAATAAAACTAAAAATTTAAACGGGTTTTAAAAAGGAAAAATAAAACCAATAACGTAAAATTAAAGTAGTAAAATAAAGGGGAGGGTTCGGTATTAAAATGAAATATAAATGTTTAAATCATTAAGACCTAAAAAAATAAATGCATAAGAAAATGAAAATGAACATAAAGATCCCCATCTACCCTTAAAAGATTAAGTATGATAAAATAAAGCGATAAAAAGCCGTAAAATAAGCCACTTAAGATCCGAAGCATTGGAGCTCAAAGAGGGAAACGGGAAATAATAACAGTTGTATCATAAAGTTTTATTAGTACAAGTATCATCAAAGAATACATGGTTTGGCAGCATTACAATGTAGCCGTGTTGTGTGCAGGAATCGTCTCCAGCGTGTTTGAGCGCCGCCCGCTGGATTACCCAAGTTGGTTCGGGGTTCGGGATTCGGGATTCAGGATTCGGGATTCGGGTATCAAGGGTGTCGAGGGGATAGGTAGGGTATTAGGGTAGGGGATAGGGGTAGGTGTGAGGACGAAAGCTTAAGGAAAAGGACGAAAAGGAAAGAAATTCAAACGAGCCGAGAGATGGAAATGAAAGAAATGAGTAAGAGGTCAGAGGAATAGGGAAAGTAGAAAGCGAGAGATTAGTAAGGGGGAAGAAAAAGATACAGAAGAACGTATATAGCAAAGGAGAAGAGAAGAGAAAAATGAACAAAAGGAGTGAATGAGAAATGAGGGAAAGAAAACGAGAGAAGGATAAGAATGTGTAACGAAGGAACGGGGAAAAGAAGAAAGCTAGATTGAGAGATTTAGGAGAGACGAAGGATAGAGGGTAGGGCGAATAGGGTACAAGTGTCAGGATGATACGTGAAGAGAAGAGAGAGAGAAGGGGAAAAGGTTGGAGAAGAGGGTAAAGGGGGAGACTACAGCAAAAGGGAGGTAGGGGAGACTAAGGGAAGCAAGGGTGAGGAGGGTAAGGGGGGGGAGAGGGGTTACAGTCCAGGAGGGGGGGGGGGGTGAAGGGTCGGAGACCTCACAACACACACACACACACACACACACACACATACATATATATATACATATGTGTGTGTGATGATGTATCTTCATACGTATTCATGGGATTCTAAATACTGACCTGGCTTATTACCCTTTTCAAATCATTAACTCTCTAAAAGTCACTGAGCAATTTGTGAATGCATTCGTTCTGCTGTCTGCCGTGAGGAAACAGTTGCTTTCATGATGTCGTACTCGAAGATTTTGTTAGTGATAGTGTGTGTGGGACTTTTCACTCTGCCCTTCTTGCACCGATATGGGTATTCAGACACGAATTTGCAAGTTTACGAGAGTTTTGAAAGGCAGCGCATGGCTCATGATGATATAGAAGAGCGCTTTCGAAGTCGCCGGGAGAGGT